ATCCAACATATATAGAAAGTAATACCTGCTCAATGTCCCGTTCTACAGGTCCAGTCCTGCTAAGATCCGAGGCCATCCTATCCGTGCGCAACATCAGCCAAAGGATGTCTTATTGAATCCAAACGCCACCGCAGAAAAAGAAAAAAAAAAAAGAGAAACAGAAAACTGAATCGAAACACTAGCTCAGGTGAAGCTCACCCATTCTCAAAACCAGACCGTTCCATTCACCACCTCAACCAAGAACCTCCCGTTGTCGGCAACTCCAAAACCAAACCCTAACTTCAACCACACAGAACTCTCCAAATCTCCTGGAAACCTCGATTGTACCATAATTGATCACCGAGTCTAAAATCCAATTCCGCCACTGACAACTCTTCAATTGAAGTAATTGAAGTTAGAACACCGATCTAGCAGCTACCGGCCAAAATCATGAACAGTATGGTTGAGTGAAGTGAAAAACTAAGAGAAACGAATCAACGGAGAAGAGGAAAGAAAAAATGATAATAAGAGAAAGGCTAAGATGGAGAATGGAGAGGTGTTTGGTCAGTGAGAAAATGGAAGAAAGCGAGGGAAAATCTAGGAAAGCATTAGCATGGAATGATCTGATTAGCCGTTGCAGGGGGAGGAGAGAGAAGAAGGAAGAGAGGAAGCTTTAACTAAGGGAAAAACTACAACAAAAACAAATAAAGGCGTTGAATACAGTAAAGTGGGGGAGAAGCAGAGCATAATTCTCACACATAAAAAGAAAGGGTGGTGGTATATTACCGATTTTTTTATATCAATTTTTCATATAATTTTTATATTTTATTAAATATTATTAAATAAATAAATATATTTAATATTATAAATTTTATATAAATTAAAAAAATTAATCATTTTAATAACATATTAAATTATATACAAAAATTATACAAAAATTATTTTCTGAAAATATATATTTCCCGCATTTTTTTTTTTTGTAAATTTGTAATTTGATAGTTACTTTTGGCATTTTTGTTGTTTTTTCTTTTTCTTTTTTCTCTTTTTCTCCCGATATTAGAGATACACATCGGGTTACACTGACCCGGACCGACTTCATTAGATGTACCCAAAAAATAAAAAATAAAAATAACTCACTTAAACTGATATGATCAAACCAACAAAGTGATCAATGATTCTGGAAGTAAAACTGGCCTGGGACTTTGGTCATCTAGGGCTGGTCCCAGCCGGGGTTAGCATATTGGAAAGCCTCGAATTAGACCGAATGCAAGGTTTGGTCAAAGCTTGATAGCCTGAATTCTGACTCATAGCAACGATTAAATATTAAAACACAGAAAAGTGTTGAACCCGATTTTAAATTTAATGGTTCACCCCAAATTTTAGTGTTTGGGTTTAATTAGTTGGAAGTTTGACTTCCACTAAACTTTTATTAATAACTTAAAAAATATCCTCTTTCTAGTAATCTTCATAATTCCTCAAATTCAAAAAATAAAATAAAAAATAAAAAAGTGTTGCTAAATAAAAATTAAATATTAAAACACAAAAAAGTGTGGTTAAATAAAGTTTTTGTTTAAGTTTAATTATAAATTTGTTTCTTTATTTTTATGTACTATTCATATGGTAAGCTATAAATATATTGTACTTTTTGTACTACATATCAATATATCCTTGATTTTATAAAATTTATAACAAAAAAAAAAAAGAGAGAGAGAGAGATATTAAAACCAAAAATTAAAAAAAAAAAGTCAAATTTTATCGCCACAACCAGCATCATGAATATATTCTATAAAAAAAATTATTATCTAATAATTATGAAAATATGGTTGATATAATTAATAAAATTAAAATCTTGAGAAATTTAAAATAATTGGGATTCCTTGATTCTTTAGTATCTTCAACATTAAAGAAAAAAGGGGGAAGATATGGAATGGAGGGTGCATGTGCAAAGTTGGATTGGAGTTCACGTACGTGCATAATTAATGGCCCCCCAAGGAATTGGCACATTGAGAAGAAAGGGGTATTGATTAAGACCAACACCATGGATGATGGATGATGCACTTTTAAGAAAAGGTAGGAGAGCCACACAAGTAAGTCTTCCTGGTCCCCAAATTCATGGTCCTACTTTTGCATCCCCATAGTGGGGTTTACGTGCTTTTTTTCAACACCTACACATTACACATACAAACCCAATTGCCTAATCCATTGCATCACAATTATGCACTGTCATCCCCTCACACTCATCATTCATTCATGCCTTCTTACCCTAACTCAATTAATTTGCAATAACAAGCATAAACATAACTTTTTATGACCAGAATCCTAGTGGATAATTCTTGAATACTGTATTATTATTGCTCCAATCTATTGCATTTATCACTCAAAAATAGAGATTAGATGCAGAATAATCATGCCATAACAACTTTTTTGATTTTTTTTTTTTTAATTAAAGAAGAAGAAGAAGAAGAAAAAGATCATCTGTCATTTTATGGCATTAGTGAAGGGACAACCCATGCCCTCATAAAGTCATGGTAGGACGCAATTTTTTGTTTTTCCCTTTATGGTTAGGCCATGAGCTAGCCTAAATCTGGCCATCAAAGGAAAAAGGGTTATAGCTTTTCGTACTGTAAGATCATGTCCATAAAAATTATTGAATGTGCAAGTTAGGTTTAAAAAAGCATCTGCGCATCTACCAGGTTTGTAAGCACTTGAAACAAAGCATGTTAAGTTGCTTCGTGGGGATGATAAAGCTACATCTACGATTCAGCTAAGTATTCTTTTTTCACCAAAAGTTAGCTATTCTATGTAGAGATTCAGTCTATTCATAGATTTAAGTATGCAAGCATTCATTTTGAAACTTAAAAATGAGAAATTTAGAATGCATACCAGGTCCCTGTAGGCCGGGGATTGGCTCCAATCTTCTCCTTTGGTTCTGAAATCAAATTAAAAGCAAACCAACATTTCCAAAGAAACATGAACATAACATATCGATGATTAGTAATGGCCAGTAACTGTAAATTCACCCCAATTCACAGTTGCTTTTCAAAGATGACAAACAAAACTTTTCATCACCAAAACCAATGCTCAGCTTCAGGCCAAGGAAAGACCAATATGTGGAATGCAGTGTTTTCAAATCTCCAGGTTAAATTGCTTATATTACATCTAGGATTAGTAGATCCAAGCCAATGACATTACCACATAAATGTCATCACTGCTTTTCTGCAAAAAGCATTTTAACTAACATCAAAAAGAATTTGTACACATCAACAGCTGAGCACCCTGATTACGATTGACATGCTATCCTCCCTATTTTGCTAGCAGTAGTTCCATATTACTAGGATGAGCAAACACCCTTCTTCCACCTGTACAAAGCAATTACATAAATTCATGGGTCTCCATGGAGTGTTCTTGAGAACCACTTAAGCCCTCCTGGAATTGATAAACCATCTTTCCTTCATTCTAGGGAAGAACTAGTTTCTGCAGTTTCATCCTCACTGAAGCTACATGGAACATCCATAGATGACCTAATGACATAATTCAGTTAGCCGGTTAACAAGAATGGACAAAAAAGAAAATGCATGAAAGCACAAGATAACTAAGTTGCATAATGTTATACTCACCCTTTAATCTGATTTGCCAATAACAACAGTTTGGTAGATGATGCATTTTCCAGGTAATCTTGTTGAGGGTATTCAATTTTGGCTTGATTAGCAACCTTCAATAGAACAAAGAGGCAACTGAGAAAAAGAGAATTATTTCACAATGCATTATAGGCTAAAAGTGGACCACAGCTTGAACTCACTCTCATTTCATTTGTTGGATGCATTTTTACTCTAACTGGTTCGTGATACTCTATGTTGTGTCTCCTCTCTGTGATACATTTGTTGACCTGCACATTTAAAATGTAAGAAATGAACTTCAAGCCAACATTATAATTGTTGAATAACAAAGAATATAAACAGTCAAACAGAGAGATATAAAGGTAATAATGAGACCTTTGTCACCCTTGCAGATGGGCCCCTCTCCACGGTATCGAGGGACTGACTGAAATCAGGTATCAAATTTGAAGGTCTAGACAAGTTTTCATTCTTCTGGGCATTCTTAGAAGCAACATTATTATTGTCACGCAACCATGGCTTTGCCTTTTTATTGGAAACTTTGGCATCATAGTAGCCAGGATCCTTAGAAACGAATCTGATCTCATTTCCTCAACAGCATGCTTAGAGCTTATCGTACTAAGGTTGCTACCATTGACTGGTGTTTTCCCAGCAGAATCTTCATACGTATCTAAATAAGAGTTCTGACCAAGAGGAGAGTTGGAAGTGTTGAGGAAAGACTTCTGTTTTAATTGCCGATAGGACCTCCTCTCCGGTCTGTCAGAATGGATAGAATAACAGTTTGCATCCTCCTCGTATGAATCCTGGGAACCCATCCGAGTAATATGTGCTTCATATTTCTACGAGGGCATCAAACATCAAACTTTTTATCACACAAATCAACCAGAATAACTCACTGGATTAAAAAGAACTATGGGATCTAGGTCATAAACATATTTTCCTATTCGAACTATACACCATATATGGAAGAATTGCTTCCATGATGAACCAGTGAAAGGGCAACACCTGATTAAAGCTTTCATACTTTCAAGTTAACGGCCCCAACTACAAATGATGATTTTATTTCAGTAGAATATGCAATGATGCAGAAGATAGTCCACTTACAGGATTAAGATTTGGCTGCTTCAGAAACCCAGATATACCAAGAGAATGACACTGGCTAGGATCTCCAACGTTATTTTGCTCTGCCAAAGCATTTGATAATAGATACACAGTAAGAGAATACAAATATGACAGTTAACTGTTTGAAGATACACAAATAAAGAATAAAGCATTACAATTGGAAGCAAGGGAACACAAGCACACTGTTGAAAGAGCTGAGATAGTGCAAAGGGAGGTTGGTGAGCATGGACAAATGAGCAAAGAAGATCTAGTTACCAATAAAGTCATGCACATAGAAACCAACAGAAATGTAGACAATGAGAAAAAAAAAAAAGAGAATGGGGCACACATGTTCCTGTGGCCTGAATTGCAATCACTCAATCTCAAAAGATCCTTTAACTATGATGAGTTATGTGTCTGAGAGAAATCTACATAGAGATGACCCAAAGGGAGTCCCAAGAAACAAACAGTTTTCAAGATGATGAATTCGGACATCCAAAATTCAATCAAATTTGCAATGATAGTTAAATGAAGAGCACAAAATGGTAACAAATAAATGAAACAATAATCATAGAGCCCAAATCACAAATTTCATCTAGATGACTAAGCAGTCAAACATGAAAGCTCGGCAAGGTTGGCTTACCATTGACTGGATTTGTACTTTGGGACATAAATGCCCCAGGAGGAAGTGGCTCAATTTCAATCCCAAGTGGTGGACCATCTGATGCGGAATAGGTTAGGGGTAAGGTAGGCTTAAGGATTTAGAGGCTTATTTGAAGATAGTTTTGGCTATGAATAGGGTGCATGAATAGCAAAAAGAAGGTTAGGAGTTTAGTTTAGACGACAAGGAAGAATAAAGAAACCTAGGAATCACACCTAGGCACCCTTACTAGGAGTCACACCTAGGTTTCTTTAGGCATCACACCTAAAGAGGATAAAACCCTTAAGCATCACTCCTAAGGTAGATTGCTTCACACAATCAAGAGCAAACTTGCTGGAAAATCTGAATATTATTAACTGAATGAATAAAGAAACTTACAAAGATGTATATGTATAAGAACTATTAAAACTCTTAATAGAACTCTTAATTAGAAGTTCTAATCCAACTAGGACTTGACAAAAATTAAATAGTTTTAAAAATAATAATAATAATAAACTACTAGTAAAAGACTTAATTAAGCTCCCAACTAAGCTTCTCCTCATTGGCCATGTGCCAAACTAAAGCATGGGCTTTAGAACCAACTTTGGCTCACATTTTGTAAACCTTTGGGGGTTGCTGCCAGTGCGCCCCATCACCATCTTCTTGATAATGCTTTCCCAGCTGCCTCTTAACAGCAGTAATAGCAGGATTTTCAATTTCACCCTTGACCAGTCAATAGGAGTTGTACAGACATCATTGGAAGTAGGACTGGGGATGAAGGCAGTATACGAAGGTGATTTGATGCTCCTTGCAGCTCCCACAGGCAATCTTTCAGCCATATCCTTCAACTATTGACAAACAATACATACATAATCAGTACAAAAATTTGATGAAAATATGAGATGCAAAGCAACTCATCCATAGGATGGACAGCAATGAAGATCCAGATAACCACTGTCCAGAGTGAAACATTATCAATTGTGCGTGATAGTTCCTCTTTGTTTCTTTAATAAGCATTTAATTGCACTGCTAAACTCCCAGCACATAATCCTAGAGCAAGAATCAAAATGATATTCACAGGAAGCAAATCTAATCATATTTGTCCCTTCAAGAAGATTATGAGATGATTTCATGTTATAGAGGTCATGGAGGCCCAAATTTTAATGAACATCACACATTGTCATACCAACATAAACATCCATCTAACCTGCACGGCAAGTGACTTGATGACTTCCTTTGCTGCTTTACATTTTGCAGTTTCTTCTCCTGCAAATGCAATGGCCTCCTTGAACTGTTTAGTTGTCCTTTCCAGCTCAACTTCTTGAAGCCGGGCTTTATGAGTAAGATTCTCCACCTAAGAGATAAAGATTGGTCAGGCAAAAAACACATAAATTCTTGTTGGTTATGGAAAGTTTAGTGGGTAATCTGCATGTTTTGCCATCTGTTAATTAATGCTCAGCTTAACCTATTTCTGTTACCTAATTTCCACCATAAATAGATTAAGATCACCATACTTCCACCACCTAAACCACATATCAACTACAGATTTACAGTAGGATTTGAGTTCTTTTAGAAGAAGATTATTGAGAAGTACAGAAGACTATATGTTACCTGTGCTCTTAATCTAATAACCACTTGGCTAAGGCTGTCATTGGTCTTCTTAACATCATCCACAACCATTTTTGGTGAGGTAAGGCCCCCAAGTATTGGAGTTGGTGTTGTTGAACGAGGTGGGCTAGGACGTCTTGATATTGGTGATGTTGCACGAGAAACAATTCTTGATCCAGGAACAGAAGCAGAGAAAATTTTCTTAGATGATCCAAATACTGGATTTAAAGATTTAGAAATATTAAGTGCTCCCCATTGAGAGCCTCCATTTGGAACAGGTGAAACTCTACTGCTATTGAATTCTAATTTCTTGTTTCTCTTAGAACGGCTTTCCACTTGCTTGAAGGATTCAATGGATGAGAATCTAGCAAGTTGCATACGAGA